GTGTTCATGTATAATGTTGATAACATCTTATTTTCAGGCAATGATCCTCGCATCATAGCCAGAATTATGGATCCCAATTATTTAAGTAGATTTGCAGATACATTCAGAAATGTTAAGCTCACTATACAGAGACATGGACCATGGTCATCTGCTTGGGTTGGTGAAGCAGGTGGTGCCTACAACAGCGGCAGCCGTCTTGTCTCCAATACCTTTCTAAATAGCTTTTGGTAATTAGTTACCTTATATTCCCTAGGAATATTTCCTTTTTGTTTTCTTTTCAATTAAAAACAAAGGTTTTGTTTCGTTCTAGGAATTTAAGGCCTCGTTTGTTTCTCCTTAATTACGTCATTTTCGGTTTAAATTGACGAAAACAGTTACTGTGTGTTTTTTGTTAACATGCCTTTTGCAGAATCTCTTTTCTTATATCTCTGTAATACTGCTGATCTCAAAAGAAAAAAATGCCGCTTACCCAAACTCCGCTTACTCCGTTTCTTTAAACTCTGCTCATGCAAAAGGAGTGCCGCAACCAAACGAGGCCTAAATGGAAAGAAATGAGAAAAAAAAAGTGTTGAATAGCTCAGCCTTAAATCAATGGTTGTAAACTTATAATTAACTCATAAATTATTGAATATCATTCATTTCCTCCAATTTCTTCTTTCCTTCAGTCCAAACAAAGCCTAAGCAAAGTGAATATTTATGAACTCAAATTCATTTTTTTCATAACTCAGGTACTTGGATCAACTTGGAATGGCATCGAAGTATAACACAAAGGTGTACTGCAGACAGGCATTGATTGGTGGTAATTATGGCCTTCTTGACTTGGAAACATTCATACCGAATCCAGATTACTACAGGCAAGGACTTATAAACTGTTAAATGTTGACTAGTATGAATGTTGATGTAATGAAATTCTTAAGTATTATTACTTTTGAACTCTTGAACAGTGCGTTACTTTGGCATCGGCTGATGGGGAAGGGCGTTCTTAGTATTGATTTTAGTGGGTCTTCTTTTCTAAGAGCCTACGCCCACTGCAGCAAACATAAAGTAACAACTTATTCTTCACCTTTTGTATACTCATTTTCTTTTAGTATTTAGCAGCTTCATTAGTTTTCTTTTAGGAAACTCCAGGGTAATGAGTTATGGAATCCTCGAATCTAATTTTTTGCCTTGGGAAGAAAATTTGCTATGAAACTTAATACACATCCATGTTAATTTTATTAAAGCCAATTTTGGATATTTTATTGTATTTTTGGCTGGCCTAGGATTTTTTTTTTTTTAATAATGATGGGGGCATTATGTTTATAGTATTATTCTTCACTACCAAAAGAAAAAAGTGAAATTATAGTGGTGATAATACCCACCGTTGCTAGCTTGGTTGGTGGGCGAGCTTGGTTGGGAACCCCCCAACCCGTGCTCGATTCCCCTCGAGCGGCAGCGCCTCTTAAGTGGGGCCCAATCAAGTGCGGGTCAGGAGGTTTCTGGGGTGGGTGCCTTTTCTAGTTCAGCCAAGGATTAGTCATGCCGCCAAGCGCCCTTTCGGGGGTGACAGCAGATGCATACCCCGTTCCAAAAAAAAAAGAAAAAGTGGTGATAATAGGATGTAGCTATCAATTGGGTGAACTTGTATAAAATTATTTTTTTATATTTTATATGTTGATGTA